CTTCCTCACAGAGATCGATTGTTGGTGGGCTCTCATGCCTGTTCTCTTCGCCTTCTGTGAAACCCTCTGCTTCCCTGAGCTATTCGCCTTCTGGAGAGGATTTAGGACCCTACAGAGGAGAGGAGCTGAGCAGTTCTTTTTGCTATTCGTCAAGTAAATTTGGTGGGTCTTTTTTGAAAACCCATCAGAGCCCAGTATCTATATTTCAAGGTCCAGTTTCATGCAGTAGCAGCAGTCCTCCGATGAGGATAGCGCGGGAAAAGTGCGGGGATATGAATTTTCAGGGCTCTTTTCGTGGAGGGGCAAGTGGGCTATTCAATGGATTTGTGAGGAATGCTTTGGGGTCGTGTATTGATTATGATTCTCCAAGCTTTGATGTGAATGGTAGAGGTATTGTTGATGAATTAACGTTCAACATGGATGACAGTTTTACAGAATTAACTTTGGAGCCCTATGCTAAAGAGTTGCTTTCGAGTGCACAATTAAGTCACAAAATCTTTTCTGAAGATTTTGTGGTGAAGGCCTTCTATGAAGCTGAGAAGGCTCATAGAGGACAGGTAAAGAAAATGAATGTTAGTTTTGAATCTTTTGGTTGAATTTTTCTTTTGGGATGTAAAGTTTCTTTGCCATTCCTTTTTTGTAGATGCGTGCTAGTGGGGGTCCTTATTTGCAACACTGTGTGGAAACTGCGGAGTTGTTGGCATCAATTGGTGCTAACTCTACTGTAGTAGCAGCTGGGCTTTTACATGACACGGTTGATGATTCCTGTTTGAGCTATGACCACATTTTCAGGATTTTTGGCGCAGGAGTTGCTGATCTAGTTGAAGGGGTAAGAGACGTGGTTTCCTTATGCAATTAATATCAACTATCTGTAGACATATTAATTTTGAGATTATCCATCTTGCTGAATTCAATAACTATCATTTAAGTTTGGTTGTAGGTGATAGGATAATAGATCATTTCAGTAATTTTGTATTCCTTGCTCTTCTTTCCACCATTTAGATGAGAATTGGACTTTACGCAGATAAATTTTATAGATGATGTACTTTGTTGTTTACATCACATGGCAGGACATGAGCTAATGGGGAAGTTCTTTTCCCTCTTATTCTTACCAATTAAATTTGGAGTGTCACATTTCACTGTCATATGGTTCTGTGTAAATGTTTTTGGTTGTGGATCTGCTACTAAAATCCTAGGCTTCCTGGAACCTTTATGGCAAAATTTTGTATTTTTGTTTATGCATCCTGATTTTTCTTACTTTATAGTTTATATTGGACGGTTGTTTTTTCCTTACAATGAATGAATGATGAAAGATCAATTGTCAAGCTACTTTTGTCCTCTTTTGGGTTTCTTTCCCTTAATGACTATCAACTATCCCTTTAATATTTGTTTGAAACTATTTTTGTTCCTAAAAGAACAGGATTTTTAGAAATAAGTTGTCTTATAAATGAGCCTTATAGACCAATATGTTTGTACTATAGCCTGGTATTTATAATTGTTCAGTATTAACACATAATTTTCTAGTAGTATATCAATTGAACATGTAACTAGATTAAAATAGCTAATGTTATGAGCTTCTAATCTTTTTTCCACTTTAATGATGAACACAGGTTTCCAAGCTTAGCCAACTGAGTAAGCTTGCCCGTGAGAACAATACAGCGAGCAAAACCATCGAGGCAGATCGCCTGCACACCATGTACCTTGCAATGGCGGATGCCAGGGCTGTTCTCATTAAATTGGCTGATCGTTTACATAACATGATGACTCTAGATGCCTTGCCTTTGGTCAAGCAACAGAGGTTTGCCAAGGAGACTTTGGAAATATTTGCCCCCTTGGCCAACAGGTTGGGAATCTCTAGTTGGAAGGAGCAACTAGAGAATTTGTGTTTCAAGCATCTCAACCCCGATGAGCACAAAGCACTGTCCTCTGGGCTTGAGAAGTCCTTTAATAAAGCTATGGTCACTTCTGCCATGGAGAAATTAGAGGGAGCTCTGATCGATGAAGCAATTCCTTACCATGATCTCTCTGGAAGACATAAAAGTTTGTATAGCATATACCGCAAGATGTTAAAGTATGTTCTTTCTCTCTCTCTGTGTTGGTAGAATTTGGTTGGGGAAAATGTTGGAATTATTGTAAATTATAAATGTGTTAGTGGCAGAATTTAGATATCTTCCAGGTGTACATGCTTTTGCGGATTGGAAGTGGAAGTGGTTATTGTTGCTATGAAGATTCTTTTATGGCAGTTCTTGATTTTTAAGATTATGACTTAAAAGTAGTTGGATTAAATCTGCGTATTTTCCATGTATATTGTTGTATAATTCTGATATTATTTTTCTAATATCTTTTTTGAGCATCAGTTAAAGAATGATTCCCTTTATTTAATGCCCTTTTTATTGTGATCAAATTTGAATGAATGTGTTTAACATATCTACATAAATAATGTGATGGTATTTTGTCTTGTGCAGGAAAAAACTGACTATGGATGAAATCCATGATATTCATGGACTACGTGTCATTGTCAAAAGTAAGGAAGACTGCTATAATGCATTGGGAGTAGTTCACCAGTTATGGTCTGAAGTACCTGGAAAGCTCAAGGATTACATAATCCATCCCAAATTTAATGGGTATGTAACATTTCATGTATTATAGTTTTTACCCTGATAAAATTCATTATGTTCTCACTGCTCCACATTTTACCCCTCTAATTTGGATTTGATATATAGGTATCGGTCCCTGCACACAGTTGTTATGGGTGAAGATATGGTTCCCCTCGAAGTTCAAATTCGAACAATGGAGATGCATTTGCAGGCTGAGATTGGATTTGCAGCTCATTGGAGGTACAAGGAAGGTGACTGCAGGCATTCTTCATTTGTGCTTCAGATGGTTGAATGGGCACGATGGGTGGTCACTTGGCATTGTGAAACAATGAAAAAAGACCAATCTTCTATCGACCATGCTGATTCTATTAAGCCACCATGCAAATTCCCATCCCATTCCAAAGATTGCCCAGTTTCTTTCAAGCCTCATTGTGGCCAGGATGGACCTGTCTTTGTCATCATCATTGAAAATGATAAGGTCTGACTTCAGAACCATTCTCCATTTTTGCCCCTTGCTTCTACTATTTTTCTGAAAATAGGTCTTAACTACCAAGGAGTTTAATGATTGAATGAGTATTGGTTGATTCTTTTATGATCACTAGGTTTAGTTCAGGTGCTAATATTTGTTGCATTTCTGATGTTAGTTTTTAGTATTTAGGATTTGATTTTAAAACTTTGGTGTTGTGGTCTGAATTTCTTTTATCACATTTATGTTGCAGATGTCAGTACAAGAATTTCCTGCAAACTCAACAATGATTGATCTTCTTGAAAAGACTGGACGTGGTTGCAGCTCCAGATGGTCTCCATTTTGGTTCCCTATCAAGGAAGAATTGAGACCAAGGTTGAACCATGAACCAGTAAGTGATCCAACCTGCATACTTAAGATGGGTGATATGGTAGAGCTGATGCCTGCTATTCCCAACAAGTCTTTGACAGAGTACAGGGAAGAGATCCAACGGATGTATGATCGAGACCTTTCCCTGCCAGGCACAGGGCAAGCTACTACTGGTAACATGTTTGGCTCTAGAAGTTGACACTTGCTGAACTGCATCCCAT